TAATGGGCTGCAAYCCATGTATGTATAATATGTCAGAATACATCCTACTGTCATGTATAGCTAAAAGCAACAAATAAGAATAAAATAAAGATTTTTTAAAAGTAAAAAAAAATTACTATGTAGCTTTGAAATGATTMCAAATACAAAATTTGCCATATTTCCTATTTCTCTATTTCCCCTCMCTACCTTTCCTTGTTAGGGACCAGCATTCACATATCAGAGAGAACATTCGGCCTTTGGTTTTTTGGGATTGGCTTATTTCACTTAGTATGTTATTCTCCAGTTCCACCCATTTACTGGCAAATGCCATATTTTTTCTGTGATAACAACTTGAAGGGTAAGCCCTTTGCTATGAGAATGTTATATCATGCTTTATCAGAACCCATATGTGAGTTTCTGACTTCAACCATTAGACTCCAAAATACGTATTAAACCCAAGAGTTTGGCAAACACTTTGAGAGCTTAGGTTGTGGCAGACCACACTGTGTTGACCACTTCTCCAAAGATCGAGAGCTTCTGCCAGGCAGGGCTGTCCAGGTAGCCTTTGAGCCAAGTCCCAAAGCCTGGCCAGGCAGCACCAGCACTGCCCACATGTCTAGTCTCTGCTGAGAACTACTCTTACGCAGGGATACTTGAAACAATCAAACTTTCACTTTCCATCCTAATTGTGCCACTGTAGACTTTAATAATTAGACTCCAATGAAATTGGAACTTACACACTATGTGGTTTATGTATCTTCCCTATTGAATATATTCTCTGTGAAATTTATTTCCATTATTATTCTCCTCAAACATAAAAAAAAATCTTTGTGTGGCAATAAAATGTGTTTCATAAAATCATAGTTTAATCTAATCTCCTTATTTTAACTGTACAAAACAAAGTATAGCCAGGCATGGTGGCACACATCTGTAATCCCAGCAACTCAGGAGGATGGCAAGTTCCTAGKCAGCCTCAGCAACTAATTGAGGCCCTAAGCAACTTAGAGCCTGTATCAAAATAAAAAATAAAGGGCTGGGGATGTGACTCAGTGGTTAAGCAACTCTGGGTTCAATCTCTGGTACTTTAAAAAAAAAAAAAAAGTTAAGTGTAAGTTGTTCTACAAATTCCTGCTGCTGTCCTAACCATTCCAGAAGCCTTGTGTTAGTGGTACTAGTGGTAGCTGGGGAAATGGAAGACTATGGGGCCAAGTCCATACTGGGTTCTGATATGAAAAAGGGACAGAGGTCACCTGAAGACATACAGAACAGAGAGAACTTGCCAGGGTCACTAGATATAACAGGGTCAGTAAAACTATAAGCCCTCAAAGAAATCCTGAGTTACTTTAGATTTGTCTGTTTTCAACGTTAATAAGTGGAATAATTCTATTTGAATTGTATTTATTCTATTTGAATTTTAAAGGAAAAAGTAATCAGGCTGGGGATGTGGCTCAGTGGTAGGGTGCTTGCCTAATGTGTGAGGCCATGGGTTCAATCCCCAGTACAGAAAGAAAAAAAATAAAGGTAATCTCTAAACTTAAGGGTTCCCCAGTACCTGATCTTTTACCACCATTACTTTTTTTGATTGTTTAATGCAAATGGATGAATTGTTCTAAACAGTTAAGGAAAAAAACAGTATTAATTTGATACATAATCCTTCAGAAAGCCAGGGAAGAAGGAACACTTCCCATTTAGTTTTGTTTTGGTTTGTTTTTTTACCTCAGCAATACCCCAGTATCAAAAAGAGGCAAGCCAGGTGTGGTGGTATAAGTCTATAATCCCAGCTACATGGGAGGTTGAGACAGGAACATTTCAAGTTGCTTGGGCAACTTGGTGAGACTCAATTTCAAAATAAAATAAAAAGGGCTGAGAATGCAGTACCTGCCTAGCATGTTTTGAGGCCCTGGGTACAATCCCCAGTGCTGTGTGTGTGTGTGTGTGGGGGGAGACAAAGAACAAAATAACAGAGATACAAAAATCCAAATTTTAAAACATTGAACACATACAACAAAACAAAATGGGTAATACCTATGAGCAAGTGGGAGTTTAGCCTAGAAATGCATTAAAAAGTCGATTACATTTTACCATATTAACAGAAAAAATACAATTAGTACAGACAGAAAAGTAACTTGACAAAATCCAACACCTGCTCATGCATGATAAATTTTCTCAGCACACAAGGACTAGAAGGGAACTTTGCCAACCTGATAAAGCCTGTGTAGTTAAGCTCATACTTACTGGCAAAAGACTTAATGCTTTCCTACTAACACCATCTCTCATCATTTTACTAGAGGTAGGAATCTATTCAAGAGGGCAAAGAAAATAAAAGGCATACAGATTGGATAGGAAGGAACAAAACTGTCTTATTTGCAGAATCTACAAAAACTAGAACTATTAAGTAAATATAGAAAGGTCTCGGGATTCAAGGTCACTGTATAAAGACTAATTGTATTTCCATGTAGTCACAAGAATTATAAATTGAAATTTGAAAAAAGTACCTTTTACAATATCAAAAAACAAGAAATATCTAAGGATAATTTTAATAAATATGTATGACTATACACTAACATTATAAAATATAATTGAAAGAAAACTTTGAATTAATGTAGAGGGAGAGATCATGTTCACTAAAAAAAACACCAATTCTTCCAAAATTCATATATAAATATGTGTATGTATGTATATATACACACACACACACACACACACACACACACACTTTTTTTTTTTTTTGAGATGATCTCACTATGTTTCCAGGCTGGCCTTTAACTCCTAGGCTTAAGCTTTCCTCTAGCCTCAGACTTCAGAGCAGCTGGGGCTACTAGCTAAAGCACCCTGCTAAACTGATAATTCAATGCAATCTCAAGCAAAATCACAACAGTCTGTTTCGTAGAAATTGATCAATTTGATCATCAGTTGATCCTAAAGTATATGTRAAAATGCAAAGGATCTAGAATAAGCAAATTATACTGAAAAAGGACAATGCTGACATGCAAATATGAACTGATTTTTAAAAATATTTTATTAGTTATTGATGGAATTTTATTTATTTATTTATTTGTATTTGGTGCTGAGAATCAAACCCAATGCCTCACACATRTAAGGCAAGTGCTCTACCACTAAGCTACAATCCCAGCCCCTATCATATGAACTGAATTTGAGACTCAGGATTTATAGTAAATAAGACAGTGTGTGGGTAGAGTAAAACAGACATATAGGTCAGCAGATCATATGGAACAATTAAAAATCCAGAAACAAAYCACGCAAATTAATGGACATAATCAAAGCTGGAACAAGTAGAAGTCCATATGGAAAAAAATAAATACTACCTTTACTCTCTCCCCATACTATAAAGAATAATGTGTTTGAATACAATAAAGACCTAAATCTGTAAAACTTCTTGAACACAAGTGAGAATATCTTGCAATCTTGTGTTCAGCAAAGTTTTCAGGTGAAAAAACAACACAAAAGGAAAAAATGAAAGAACTGCATAAAATATAACTAGCTCTTCAAAAGACAATTTTAATAAAATGAAAAGGTAAGCCACAGACTGGTAGAAAACATTACAAAATATATATATATATAAGAGGCTGTAGCTCAGTGGCAAACCTGCTTGCCTTGCATGCCTGAGGCACTGGGTTCGATCCTTAGCACCATATGAAAATAAAGATACCGTGTGTTCATCTGCAAATAAATAAATATTTTAAAATATATAAACATTTAATAAAGGACATGGTATAAAACATCTGAAGAATCCTTATATAGAAAGAACCCTCAGATACGTGAAGCCATTGATTTACTAAATGGGCAAAAGATTCCAATAAACCCTTCACCAAAGAGAGAGCTATAGATAGCAAAATAAGTACACTCAAAAGACACTCAGTATCATTAGTCATTAGGGAAATTAAAATTAAAACCAAAACAAGATTACACTACAACTGTTAGCAAAAGTTACACTACAACTGTTAAGTGTGGAGTGACATAAATTGTTGGAGAGAATGTAAAATGGTACAAGCACTTCAGAGTACAAGCACTTAGCAGTTTCTTTTGAAGATATCCAACCATTTATCAAAAGATACAGCAATTCCACTTATAGGTATTTACCCAGAGGAAATGAAAACATTTGTTTCCTCAAAGACTTGTGCACAAATATTCATAGCAGCTCTATTCACTGTAGCCCCAAACTGGAAAGGACTAACACCACCATCAATTGGTGAATGGATAAATAAATTGTGATATATCCATATCACAGAATGCACAAAGCAGTAACAAGGGAGGATACTTAGGCAACACAAAAGGATGAATCTCAAAGCATTATGCTAAGTAAAAAGATCAGACACAAAAGACTACTTTGGTATGATTCCATTGTATACAATTCTAGAAAAGGCCAAACTATACTGACAATAGGACAGATCCCTGTTTACAAGGCACGAAGATGCCAAGGTGCGTGGGGTGAGAAGGGGGTGGACTGACTGCCCAGCTTTCTTCTTCAGTTTCATTTCCGTTCTATGGTTTGAACCTGGAACGGACGCTAAATACACTTTAGCTTGTGTTTTCACCCTACAGCCTTCTCTAGAATCGGCCAGCGTCAGGGTGCCTCCTAGCGGAATCGCAGTTTCCTCGAAAGCCATCCAGTCCAGGAATTCTGGTGGCCGTGGTCCAGCCCGGAGACGACCTCCTTGGCCCACTTTACCACCTACCAGAGATTTCTTTCTCGGACCGCCTCCCAAGCCTTTCGAAACGCTCGGGAGTTTCCCTTTTAATTTCCTTTTCGCCTGACAAATAAAAAMCCCAAACAAAACAGTTTCGTTTTCTCCGTTGACTGCTGGCCCCGCCCCCAAACAGCACGTGAGGAGCCCGGCGTCGGGGCAGGGGCGGGGCAGGGGCGGAATCGAATCTCGGACGCCGCCGGCGCTAACTCCAGCTCCTCAGCGCGACGCCGGGGCTGGAGACTGGCGGTCCTCGACGTTCTCCTGTTGCCTCGCGGCCGCGGAGCCAAAAAGAAAAAGAAAAAAAAAGCAGTGATGGAGCCGGGGCTGCGGAGGAGGTCGCGGGGCCGCGCGCGCTCGAATCCCGGCCGGGCTGCCGCGTCCCGCTCCGTGGAGCCGCACTGCGCGGGACTGTGGCTCTTCCCCAGCGCCTCGGGTCTCCGCAGCGCGCTACTCCGGAGGTCCGAGGCTACGCGCCAGATATGCTGCACGTCGAGGCGCCTAGCGGTGCTGGAGCGCGGCGGGGCTGGCGTCGAGATCCACCAGCTGCCGCCGAGGAGCGACGGGGCGAGGAAGCCCAGTAAGTGGGGCGTGCGGGAGGTATCCGCTCGGTCTCGAGTGGGGGTGGCGTGGCTGGCACTGTCGCYTTCCCTGAGAGGGGCTGGAGTGCGATGTGCTGTCCTTCGCCTGGTACGGGTGGGAGCGGTCGGAAGGCCTTTTGGCTGGCGGCTGTGTCTGGGGCGGCGGACGCGCGCCCGGCTCAGGTGGTCTCGCGGTGCAGCGCACCTGAACTTCYCTTTACCCCGGTCCCCACTGGTCGCGGAGTTCGCAGGATGTTGGTCAAAATTGGACCGTCCTTTGCAAAGTGACCCGCGTGGGAGTGTACGGAGAGCATCTTCATCTTCTTAGCCACGGTCCTTTTATAAGTGGTTGCTGTTCAAAGTTGATTTCCACCTCCCCCCGCAACACACACCACCACCTACTCTCCCCGATTTTGTGAGCCTTTTAGAGGCTTCAGTTATCTTTATCCGCGACTGTATAACATTGGCCTTCAGTTGCACTTCGATCGGATCCTAATCGCCGTATGGTGGTTCTGATTTATCTTGTTGATCTTTAGAAAATTCTGGTCCCAAGTAAATGGTGTCTTACTSTTGTGTTGTTKTGAATTTAACTGGCGTGAAATCGAGCATTTTTTTCAGTTCTCCATTGGCCATTTGCATTCCTTTTTCGGTCAACTGCCTGTTCAAATCCTTACCTGGCTTTTAAAAAAATTGAATTGTGGATCTTTTTTTTCTTATTTATTTGTAATAGCAATTTGGATATTGAATAATAGCTCTTTGCCTCTCGTATATGTCGTGATATTTTTCTGCCTTGCCTTTTGTTGACCTTATTTCTTCCTGGGCACAATTTAAACTTTTAAAATCGTCTATCCGACTTTTTCTTTTATGGAGGTGTGTGGATTTTTAAATTAGAAATTTATGAACCCTCTGAGATATAAGGTAGTGATTTTAAAGCGGTATTTTTTTGTGACGGGGTGAGGGGCGGGGTTGCTCTACAACTGGGCTACATCCCCCAGTCCTTTTTTAAAAATATTTATTTTTAAAGATGTAGTTGGACAGGATGCCTTAATTTCCTTTTTATGTGGTGGGGAGGATCGAACCCAGGGCCCTGCACGCGCTAGGCAAGCGCTCTACCGCTGAGCCACAACCCCAGCCCTCACCCCCAGCCCTTTTTGTTTTCGAGTTAGGATTTCCCTCAATTGCTCAGGCGTCGCTCGAATTTGCTATCCTCCTGCCTCAGCTTCCCAAGGAGCTGGGATACAGACATGCGCCACCGCGCCCAGCTTAAAGTTTTATTTTTAAATTTAAAATTTGTTATGTTTGGAATTGATTATGATGAGTCTGAATTTATTCGTTTTTTTCCCCCAGGGGACTGAATATGATTAACCAGTACCATTTCTTGAATATCCCTCTTTTTTAACTGATTTGAAATGCTTAGTCTATAAAAATACATTAAAAGATAAGTAAAAGGAGGGGGGGTTAATCTGTTGGGCCATTTTTGTTCCTCTAGTACTTGTAAAGTGGTTTGTGCTTTTGAGATTTTCACAAGAGTAGATTCTATTTCATTAGAATTAAAGAGTGAAACAAAGTCCCCAAACTATCCTCTTAATTTTTGTGAACAAACTAAGTGAGATTAAATAGTAAAAATTTAATTTGTAAAAAYTTTTTTCCATGGTTTCCCCCTTTAAAAATATTCCCCCCAAACACAATTCTTGCTTTTAAATATAGGCATTAGCTTTTGAGGGGAGCTTTCTGTGGGTGTTTATTATTGGTTTTGGATAGCATGTCTCAGAATACATAATATATTTGTTCTTGAAATGAGTTATGTTACTCTAAAATTATGTTTTCTTACCTAGTTTTTCATTTGTCACTGTAAATCTAATTTATCTCAGTTTATTAAAAGAGGATTTAAACTGGGCAAGTAGGTGAATGCCTGTAATCCCAGCAGCTCTGGAGGTTGAGGCAGGAGGATCAGGAGTTCAAAGCCAGCCTCAGCAATTTAAAGATGCCTTAAGCAATTTAATGAGACCCTGCCCCAATATAAAAAGAGCTGAGGATGTGGCTCAGGGGTTAAGCACCCCTGCTACCCAAAAATGTTTTTAAGGATTTAAAAGCAAGATATTTAATTGACTGTGGTAAGGTTCTATTTTATGTAAAACAAAGAATAAATCAGTGCTTTCCCAAATCTAAAAATGTACATTGGCAAGAGAATTGTTATTTTTTATTTGCTTTGCATCTTAAAGAGAAAATCATGTTAAGTTGAAGATTGTCTAGTTTAACTTTTTTCCAGGCATTTTAAGTGTATTATAATGAAATCAATAATAGTAGTAGATAATAACTGATAACAGTTTCTTGTTGGATTTGCTTTTCAGAGTATATTAAGTTAGGGAAAAAAATGAAGATACATTCCATGGACCAAGGAGAAGAGCATATGCTGATTCTGTCCTCAGATGGAAAGCTGTTTGAATACAATTACAGCATAGAACACCCAAAGTAGGTAACTTTTTTTTTTCTTTTGTTAAATGGTTTTACTTTTACCTGAAAGGCAACAGTAATTTTGTAGTAAAATTTTACACTATATGATTCTTGTCCTCTGCTCTATATAGTAGCATCTTAAGGAAGATTTTCAATTCTACCAATATTGCACAGGTCATTAAAATAAGGTGGAAATTACAAACTTATGTATGTTATATTAATGTTCATTAATAATATTATTTTATTACACACTGTATAATTATATTATGCATTATATGCTGAAGTTTTTATAGGTGTTCCCAGTCTGGAATAATGGGACAAAATAATGTGTTAAGTAGTGATGAATTCTAAACTGACCAGTGAATTCCATCTATACCTTACAAACCAGTATTCTGCTGTAGCTATCATGTTGTTTTGGCATTTGAAATGTTTGATTAGTTTCTCTAGCCCCAAATTGAACTTTGACATTCATCAAATTATTTGATACTCATGATAATCCTATATGGTATTTCCAGAAATAAGTTTTTAAACCTAGGAAAAAATGCATTATCATGAAGTGATTTGTAAGACTTTTTTCCTAGTAGATCGCATGAATTAGAACTTATTTTCAACTTACATTTATTTCTGCATGTTAAAATTGTTTACATAAGTAGGGTATTAGACTCATTATATTATAAATATATTATGCTCAATATTTTCTTCAAAGTATTTTTACAGTTCAGTGTACTGAATGTGAAGTGGTAAATTTAAAGTTGTTTTTCTTGACTTCATTCCTAATTACATTATTAGTTCTAACAATCATTATGACTTTCATAAACTATCTTTTCTTTGATCAGGTTTCAAAGCATTTTGCAAGAAAAATATATAATTCAGATCACATGTGGAGATTATCATTCTCTTGCATTATCAAAAGGTAATTTTTGGAATATTGTTTTCTGTAAGTAGTAAATACATGTATCTGTAGAACCAGTCAAATAGATATACCTCATTTTGTGACAAGACAGAAATGTAATTTTGAATTTGATATGATTCAGAGCTGTGTGTGTTTACTTTTGTTTTGCTTTGTTTTTTTGTGCTGGGGATTGAACCTAGGGGTGCTTAATCACTAAGCTGTGTTTCCAGCCCTCTTTAATTTTTTTTATTTTGAGCCAGGACCTTGTTATGTTGCTCAGAGCCTCACTGAGTTGCTGAGGCTGTCCTCAAACTCAAATCATCTTGTCTCAGCCTCCTGAACTACTGGGATTACAAGCATGTGCCATTGCACCCAGCCAAAGTATATTCTTTTTTGGTACTGGGGATTTAACTTGGGGCACTTAATTCCTGAGCCACATCCCCAGCCCTTTTCATATTTTTATTTTGAGACAGGATCTCACTAAGTTCATTAGGTCCTTACTCAGTTACTGAGCCTGGCTTTGAACTCCTGATCCTCCTGCCTCAGCCTCCTGAGCTGCTGGGATTACAGGTGTGTGCCACCATGCCTAGCTAACGTAGTGCTCTTAAAGGGTGCAAAATGAGAGAATTCTTGGGTCTCTAAAATCTTCAGATTTCTAGAATCAACTGTTTCTACATTTTATTCCAGTCTTTTATTTTGCAAATATGAAATAGTGAAGAATTTCTGAATAATCAAAAACATTCCTTCTGGAATCTGGCCCCGGCCCTGGCCACCCTTTCCCAGAACTTTTTTTCCTTTTCCTAACACTCTACTAGCTTTCATTGTTGTAGTTGAGAATCTTCTCTAGTTCTATTGGGGGCCCAAGTTGCAGGCCTGTGTTACATATATCATCTTTTGAATTTCAGGATTTTCCCATCCTTTCAGTGTTCTCTGTCAAACACTGATAGTATGAAATGGAAGCAGCAAACTTGACCATGAAAGGAATAGCTATAGGAGGGTGATAGAAGAATTCAGGATGGAGGAAATTTAAATATATATATATATATGACAGCTGGGTACAGTGGCATATACCTGTTTGTATTGCCAGCTACTTAGGAGGCTGAGACAAGAGGATCACAAGTTCAAAACCAATCTGGGCAACTTAGCAAAACTCTCTCTCAAAATAAAAAATAAAAAGCTAGGAATATAGGTAAGAGGTAGAGCATTTGCCTAGCATGCATGAGGCCCTGAGTTTAATCCCCAGTACTACCCAAAAAGCGGGAGTAGGATAAATACATACGTGTGTGTGTGTGTGTGTGTGTGTGTGTGTGTGTATCAGCATACACATAAGTATATGCTGAAGACTCTGTTGTGGTTTGAGAATATGAACTTGTACTAGAAAAAATTGGCCATTTTGATCTCATCCATTAATGTCCAAATATTTCATATAGAGTATCTATTATGTTTGGGCTGTGAAAATTACATACCTGTCTTGAAGGAGTCTGGAATCTAGTGACTTCAGAGGCTAAGGCAGGAGGATCACAACTTTGAGGACATCCTGGGCAACATAATAAGATTCTATCTCAAAGAAAAGAGAAAAAAATAAAAGTTACTGGTAAATCACAATACAGAAAAAAATAAAAGAAAAGTAAAGAAGGGAACTGGTCATGCTCATCATTATATTCCTGGTGGCTAATAGGCATTTGAAAATTCTACTTGAAAAAGAGATTCTACCCCCTCGAATGGTATTCTACAAGGAGGTGATCATTAAACACCGGTTCTCTGATATGCTTTTTCAGATGCCATTGAATACTGACAGTTTCATTAGATAACCTAAAAAATTTCTTGAAAAATATGCTTCATATATTCAACTAGTTAAAGAAGAAGCTGTCTCTTTCAAAATACTGTACTGTGGCTTTTTTTTTTTTTTTTTTGAGTTGGCATCTCACTTCATTCATTGCCCAGGCTGGTATGTTAAACTCCTGTGCTCAAGTGATCCTCCTCTCAGCCTCCTAAGTAGTTGCAAGTGTGTACCATCATGCCTGGTTTCAAGTGAATTTCTAAGTTGTCTATTTGGGATGTTTAGGCCTCTGAAAGGGAGGAAAGTAGAAGAAATACTAGTTCTGGGTTTTATTTTCTCAGACTAGAATACTTCTGTTTTTCATGGGCCCGACATGTGGCTTTCTTAAAGTATTCCTTGAATCTGATCAAATATTTATATTCAGATAGCTTCATTGTATCCGTTGAGATGAGGGATAAGGAAGTTACTTAACTGTTACTGCTAAAGAGAAGATTCTTCTGTTTTTCAGAGTTAGGCACAGGTCCTGAGAGATTTGTAAATATGAATGTAAGACGCGTAGTATACATAGTGCAATTAATACGACTGAATTTTCTTTGTTTTTGTCAAGGTGGTGAGCTTTTTGCCTGGGGACAGAACCTGCATGGCCAGCTTGGAGTTGAAAGGATCGTTCCTTTCACCCCCATACCACAGATGGTGGAGAACCTCGCAGGAGTCCCCTTGGTTCAGATTTCTGCTGGAGAAGCCCACAGCATGGCCTTATCCATGTCTGGAAATGTTTATTCATGGGGAAAAAATAATTTTGGACAACTTGGCCTGGGCCACACCAAGAGTAAGGAACATTTTCAAATTCATATTATTAACAAATATATTTGTTAAATAGGAGATAATTGAACACAGACCTTCCTGTCACAGATGGTTAAGATCCTTGTGTTCATTTGTACTGGTCTTCATGATTTATCTGGCTTTAAGGCGGAATCTGTCAAGGAGACCATGTGGAAGTTGTTGATATAATCAAGGCCTGTGTAGGACAGCAAGGGCATTGGATTAGGAATCAAAACACTGAGATTCTCCCCATTCTGCAGTTTACTTACTACAGGGCCTTGTCATGCCCTCACTTTCCTCTGAGCCTATTTCCTTTTTCTGGAAAGTGACAAGTTTTGATAAAATGACTTTTAAGATGTCTTTGAACGTAAAAACGCTGAAATTCTGTGTGGAAACTCACACATCCTGATCCTATTTTAAACGGCATTATTTATGTCTATATACATATTCACACAACCAAAAAAATCATGTAATTGCCATTATTGAACTACCTCTACAAAGCATGGCAAAATTTGTCATGGTCCCAGATGACTTATTAGAATTCTCATGTGTAATGAATTCTGTTTTATCTGGAAATGGTCAAATTTTGCATGTCTCCCTAACATGGCTCAATGCTATTTACACAGGATAACTCATAACTCAGTGTTGGAGAAGTATTCAGAATGGATAAGAGTAAAGAAATGGTTATACTGGGCATAGTGGCACATGCGTGTAATCCCAGTAACTCAAAAGACTGAAACAGCAGGGTCCCAAGTTCAAGGGTAGCCTCAACAACTTAGCAAGACCCTATCTCAAAATACAAAATACTGGGGATGTAGCTCAGGGGTAGAGAGTCCCTGGGTTCAATCCCCAGTACCAAAAGACAGTAAAATGTGATTAAAATTTTTTTTTTGCTGAATCTTTTGAGTGCCTTGGTGGGAAAATAATCATGAAGGAAAGGAAAAGTAGCATGCGGTGAGAATGCTGTAGTAGAGAATTTTTTCTCCCTTTTGAATTGAACTATACTACTGAGCCACATCCCCAGCCATTTTTAGTTTTCATTTTGAGATGAGGTTTCACTAAATTGCCAAAGCTGGCCTCAAATTTGTAATCATTCTGCCTCTCAAGATGCTGTAATTAACAAGTGTGAGGCACTATTCCTGGTGGAGAAAAAAAATCTTCATGCTCATTAATGGTAGAATGTTTTCCTAGCATGTTGTAAGACCCTGGGTTCTGGATTCACTCCCCAGAACCAGGAGGAAAAAAAATGTAATTCTGGGCAAGAATTAGAAATATCTGATGTGTTTCAATTAAAATTAATCAAGTTAGGTGTGATGGTGCACATCTGTAATCCCAGCTACTCAGAAGGCTGAAGCAGGAGGATCATAAGTTTGAGGCCAACTTGGGCAACTTAGTGAGACCCTATCTGAAAATAAGAAGGGACCAATATGTAGCTCAATAATAGAGTACCCTTCAGTTCAATTCCTATATTTAAAAAAAAAATTAAATGAGGTTGAAAAGAAAAGAATGAAATCTTGGAAAGTGGCTTGGCCCTTTCACATACATAGGTTACTAAGGGTGACCCTTTTGGCTACTGCCCCACTCTCAACTTTAGGGCTAGAACTTGGGCCTCAGTCTGCCAGTATACATCTGAGCTTGTCAGAACTGGCTAAGCACTGCTGTTGCTAGGTKGAGAGGAAGTAGGCCAGGTAACCAGTGTGAAAACTCACTGCTTCTTTTTGGTTACTTCAACTGTTCTTTCCCTGCACAGATAGAGCAGTTCCTTGCCTTATTGAAACACCAGACAATAAGAAAGTTGAATTTCTCGCTTGTGGTGGTTCTCATGCTGCCTTGCTCACACAGGTAGGTTTACGTGGTCTCCTTTGACTGTACATCTAGAAGAATACTGTGTATGAGGCATTAATGTTATCCAGAAAAAAGGTGATCTCTTCCCGCAGTAGGACTGTTGTCCTGATAATTTGGGATCTTTACTTTGACTTGACAGTACTTTTATTCACTCTAGGAATTAGTGAATGTGCCTCTTTTATGGTGTTTCTCCAGCATCTGACATGAAGTTCCCTTTCTGTAGGATGGGCTGGTGTTTACTTTTGGTGCTGGGAAATATGGGCAACTTGGTCATAATTCAACACAGAATGAGCTGAGACCCTGTTTGGTGACCAAGCTTGCTGGAAATAGAGTGACCCAGGTAGCATGTGGAAGGTAAGTTGTAAAGTATCAATGAAAATATCAATGATATTGATAAACTTAGGTAACTTAAAAAATACCCATCTGTTTATAAATATCAAACATTTTCAAATGGGTGAAGAATTTATATTATTAATCATAATAAATCTTTAAGCCCACATATTTGTTTTCTTTGACTTTGGGGGGAGTACTAGAGATTGAACCCAAGGCCTCGCTCATGCTAGGCAAAATGCTGTACCACTAAACTACACCTCCAGCCTTTTCTTGWTTTTTTTGTTTTTTTAATGAGCAATTCACTTTCTCTTGTCTCTTTTCTGAAATACCTCTGTTAATTGTTCAGATAAACTTTCATCTTTAAGGAAAATAAATCATTATTATTTGGGGAATGTAAATAAATGTAAGTCACAAAGGGTTATTTTTGGGTTCATTTGTGAAATCCTTACTATAAAAAATCCAGTTTATATACATTCAGTCTGTAGACATACTCTGTTATGAACTCACACTAAAACTACATGAATGGTGATAATGTTAAGGTAGACCAAATTATTGGAGTAAGATTCTCTTAGCCAAAGCAATATCTTCTTAATGTATGTCACATTCCATCTTTCTCCCCTTTTCTTTGCCATACTGGGGATTGAACCCAGAGCTTCCTGCACACTAGACTAACATTCTATCATTGAGCTACATACTTACAACATCCCAAGGACCCATTCAATCTCTCTCTCTCTTTTTTTTTTTTCTGCTAGGGATTGAACCCAGGCACTTTACCACTGAGTTATATCCTGGTCCTTTTTATTTTAAGACAGAGTCTCACTGAGTTGCTTAGGGCCTCATTAAGTTGCTGAGGCTGGCTTTGAATTTGGAATTCTCCTGCCTCAGCCTCCTGAGCTGCTAGGATTACAGGTGTACACCACTGCACCCAGCCTCAGTATCTCTTAATCAAAAAATGTTGTTACCACTTTAGGTTCTTCTTAATACATGTCACTTTTAATAGCATGTATTTCAAGAGAAGGAGCCACATTAGATCCCTAGTATAAATCAGGTTAATACCCCTACTAACATGGGGGAATTTACTAGAAACACATAAAACACTGCAAGTTGATAYATTCAGTCACATTTATTATAGGAAAAGGGTAGTGGTTAATAACAGTTGAAGGAAGAGAGGTGGAGGGCAAAGACTAGGAAGAGTCTGAATGCTGAATTTCTGGTTGTCTCCACTTGGAGCAGCTGTTACTTCCTCTGGAATACAGGAAGTATTAAGCTGGGAAACACCCGAGTCCACAGAGTTTTTATTGGGGGTTCACTGCTTAGGTATGATTAATTGTACCATTGCCAAGTAATTTAACCCAATCTCCATCTCTTCCCTCCCACGGGTCTGGCTTACATCCCAGGCCAGGGGAGTTTGCCACTAGCCTCCAATAGGAGTGGTCTCAGGGCTCCACTCTCAGTGCCAGACACTCTTTCACCTGAAAAGTACTGAGGATTTGACAGTTACCACCCATAAGTTGGGGACAAGGGCAAACCTCTCTGAGCAAGATCAAATTGTTTACTACACACCAGTGTTGGAAGAGACCAGAGAACAAATCAGTGAGAAAACCAGTGTGGTAAATGTCTTTGAGAAATAAGTGGGAGCTCAGAGGAGGTCGGCTAATCCAGTCTTCTAGGATGGTAAGATGAGGAATTCAGAGATGGTTTCGAGGAGCTGGTCACTCTCAAGCTAAGGCTTGAAAAGGGAAGAGGAAAGGGAGGTGTTTGTTCCCAATAAAGGGAACACCATTTGCCAGTGTGTGACTCAAGGCCTTGAGTGGATACAGGCTTTCCAAAGTTTTCTCACTCTCACAGTAGGTTTCTTGGTTTCCAGATGGTTTTCATCCTTTGAGTGTTAGTTTCACTCTGATTGGGTAAGCTGATTTTGGTAATTTACTGTATTGCTAAATATTCTCATCATTGGGGAAAATTAAGAATTGACAGTATGTGCTTTTATTTAATAGGTGGCACACACTTGCCTATGTTTCCGATTTGGGAAAGGTCTTTTCCTTTGGTTTTGGAAAAGAAGGACAATTAGGAAATGGTGGAAAACATAATCAGCTGATACCGATACCCATGAAATTGCCATCAAATGAAGAACTCAAATTTGGTAAATTCTATAGGAATACAGGATTCAGCATAATGCCTTGTTAGAGAAAGTGATTTATCTGAGGACACGATATGACAAGGAAAGCAGTGTATGAATATAAATGAGTTTCTGTGAACACTGGTTTTATTTTTTTATGTGTAAATAATTTTAAAGATTCCATTTAATTTATCAAATCAGAATAACCCTCATTTTTCTGCTTCTCCTTCAGATTAGGATTAATGTAAACTTGAATAATCACATAATAAAGTAGATATGGATTCAGAGGTGTTTGATGATTTCAGTTTGTAAGAGACTTATTACATTCCAGGATGATTGGTTTTCCTACCTGGGTTTAATTGACCCATAATCAGAAGTATGCCCCAAATCAGAAGTGCTGGAAGTATGCTCAGCACGTACCTGTACTATCAGTCCTTGTAACCATTCTGAGATGTATTTTGTTATCCCCATTTTGCAGGAGGATACAGAAACCTGGAGAGCAAAAGGCTAGCTAGACACTTACTCAAAGCCAGGAAGAGGTCTAGCTGAAATTGAACCATGCTCCATGTAATCTCAGAACCCAGGCTCTGAAACACTGCAGTACAAGCGCCTCAAAGTGCTTGGATTGTTTCTGAAAGCTTAGAATTTTCTCATTTCTTCTGGGGAAATGAACAGTAATTTGCTCAAGCAGTTCATATATTATCTTTGTTTCTTTATAACATTCCATGCCTTGAAGTATTTATTCATATTCTTCATTCAGCAATAATTGGTTAAATATTATGATCGTGGTTTTTAAGAATGGGAGCTAGGCAACAGTTAATGAAATATTTGTTTATGCTCTATATAAGCATTTATATTAATTATATAAAACAGATGCCACATGTCAACCTTATGTGTCACCTACATTTGACAACTAGACTTTACCCTGAAGTATGTACATCTCTACTTCTTAATTAGTGGGAAATGCACTGAGTTTTTGCCTGTTAAAAACAAAATGACAACATATAAGAAAAATCTGAGATTATTTACATTGAATATACAGGTTTGTGCTAAGTGACATTCTATACACTTTATGTGCATCCCTTTCAGAAAGCCACAGCTCAGGAAAGGAGCTGATTATGATTGCTGGAGGAAATCAAAGCATTTTGCTCTGGATAGAAAAAGAGGTAAAATTAAATCTCTACATGTACTATCCTTGGTATTTTAAACAAAATAAAGGGTTCTGGAATCCAGGTTTGGCCAACTTAAAAGTCATAGGTTACTAAGGTGACTTTTGGGGAATAGATGGGCATTGTTGATCCTTTACCATCTAAGCTAATTTATTTTACCTGCAAAAATCAACAGATTTGTCCCTAATGAATGTTGTTGAATCAGTGTAATTTCCTCATACTCAACCTGTCTTTTGGTGGGCTTCTGGCTAGTAACATTGGTCAGGTCCTCATGAGCAGATAGGTACAATACTAAAAACACCTGAGGCTACGAGGCTTGTGAGTACTGGACCCTGGAAATCAATTTCCTCCTCCTTATACACCCAGCCCTCTAGGAATGTCCTTTTAAGGTTATCTGATGTTCACCTTCATAGGATTGTGTTTGTATAAACTGCTAAGTGTTGTGACACTCCAAGAAATTTCTTTGACTCTAAGCCTCCTTGGACAATAAATGGGCAACTCCTTGCTTGGTAGAGTTTCTTTTTGTGATTGTCCCAGACTTAGTTATCCATATTTAAAAATCAGTGTTGTATTCTTAGAATGCACCTAAAACTTAGGTAAATTTCTGACATGTCTAAATTATTATGCTTTCTTGTTTGTAGAATTCCTATGTTAATCTGAGGAGGAAAATTMTTTTATTAAATGAAGGAACTATAAAGAGATGGATCGCTGATGTGGGCACTAAGCAGTGGCAAAATACAAAAAGGTATGTGCACTTAATTTGTCTGACTCTCTAAAGTAGCATTCCCAAATTGGTGCTGCACAATAGAGAGATATAAGGCTCTAGTGTATTAGCCAGGATTTTCCAGAATAACAGAGCTAACAGGATGTGTCTATATCTATCTGTCGAAAGAGAGATTATCTTAAGTAATTAGCTTGTGTAATTGTGGGGGCACAAGTCTGAAATTTGTGGTCTGGTCACCAGGGAGAAATTGATGTTGCATTGCAGCTTGAGTCTGAAGGCAGAATTCCCTTTTGGAAGGGTGGCTTGTTGTTTTATTCTAAGGCCTTTAAACTAACTGGATGACGCTCACCACATACCCAAGAGTTACCTGGTTTACTCAAAGTCTGCTGATTTAATTGTTAATTTCAATTTGAAAATACCTTCACAGAAACATCTAGAATAATGGTTGACCAAATATCTTGGTAGTATGGACTAGCCAAGTTGACACCTAAAACTGATCAACACATTTAGCATGTACACTCCACRAAGACAGCTTTTTTTACTGTAAGATTTCCCTAGACTCTTACTATATTTAGATTTACTGTGACTCTGAGCAGGAAATATGTTCTGTGGCATTTCCCAACCCTTTCTGACCCTGCAACCACTTGTTCCTACACCTCTAATTCATAGCTGAATAGTCAGAACAACCCTGATCTCAACTACAAAACTCCTGCCACTTGTAAGGATTGTACTCATTCTTACGGTCTCATTCTAGAGACCTTCTTAGATGTGGCTTTTTAATTCTGGAAACTAGTTATAAAAAATAGTTGTGTTATAATTTGCAGAGTACAAATGATCAACAAGTGTTGTGTACTTCTAAGATGAAACAAACCCCTACCCTGGGCCCCCAGTATATTTAATTTCTGGTAATTTATTTTGTTTCCAAATCAGTGGAATAGAAATAGAGCTTGTGAAGTTGAGTAGAATATGTTTTATTTGTTGGAGAAAGTTCTGATTGCATCAGGCCCTTTCCTCTCTCCCTGAGATGTCTCAGAATACACCTTTCTATTTCCACTGACATTTTGAGAATTAACAAATGGGGTAGATATTTAGATGCCATGATAGTACGCAAACAAGTAAAAGATGGGAGAAGTTTGAAGGACAATTACAAGCTGTTTCATTTATCATGTCTCATGCTGTAAGGAGGCATGCTGATCAATTTGGTGTAACCATCATCTTATTCCTGATGTAGGGAAATCCGAGAGATATTTTCATCTCCTKCTTGTCTGACCGGAAGTTTCTTAAGGGAAAGGTAATACATATAATGAATTAAAATTCTATCTATCTAAAAGTATTACGAAAGCATATTCAAAATGGTTCCAGGGCAAAAAGTTAGCTATGTGTTTATCTCTTTTTCAAAATTACTTTTTTCAATAAAACCAAATATCTGCTTGCTGTATAAAACATCAAAAATACAGAGGACTGAGGAAGTAGCTCAGTGGTAGAGCGCTTGCCTAGGCATGCATGAGGTCCAGCACACATACACACATACACAAAATATCAAAATCATCCATAATCCATCACTTAAGAGTAATATCTTAGGGGATGTGGCTCGGTGGTAGAGTGCTTGCTTCATGCACAGGGCCCCAGGTTTGATCCCCAGCACCAAAATAAATAATATCTTAGGCAAGGGGGACAGCCCAGTGGTAAAGCTTGTGCTTATTTGCACAAGCCCTTGGGTTTGATTCCCTAATGTACACAGACATGCACCCAAAAAAATGGATATTGTTTTATGTATTGCTTTTTACTTATTGTGCCCATTTTCTATTTTATTCAATTCCATATTATTCACTGTTTTTCCACACCATCATTTTAATGGTTGTACAATAATTCATGGGAAGGATATACTTTATTTCCTTATTGTTAGATAATAAAGATTTTTAAATTTTCTTTTATGGTAGTGCTGAGGATCAAACCAGGACCTCACACATGTTAATCTATACATGTTCTAGCACTGAGTAACACCCTTGCCCCTTTTGAATTTTTAAGTATTAGTGAAGAACAACTTTATACTTCTTTTCCTACATTTTTGTATATTTGTTTCTTTAAAAGAGTTTATTCCTGCTGGGCACAATGGCACATGTCTTTAATGCCAGCAGCTCTGGAGGCTGAGACTGGAGGATCACAAGTTCAAAGCTAGCCTCACCAATGGCAAGATGCTAAGCAACTCTGGGAGACCCTGTCTCTAAATACAGAGTACAAACTTGGGCTGGGAATGTGGCTCAATGGTAGGTGCCCCTGAGTTCAATCCCCAGTACCAAAAAAAAAAAAAAAAAAAAGAATTTATTCCTACTTTCATACATGCAATATATGTATTAACAAAGAATATGCTTAATTTTAATTTTAGACAGTGAATCTGTTCAGCATCAATCATAATTCATAAGACACATTTCATTGATAATTTTCTCTTGAGATACTAAGAATTTACTTCTCTGAAGCCTCTTCTGTGTGGGGTGACTACAGGATATTAGGGATTGAACCCACAGATACTCTACCACTGAATTACATCCCTAGCCCTTTTTATTTTCTATTTTGAGACAAGGTCTAAGTTGCTGATGCTGGCTTCAAACTTGTGACCTCCTGCATCAGCCTCCTGAGTTGCTGAAATTACAGGCATGCTGAAACCCTTTCTTTTAGACCCCATTTTCAGTTCATGTAATTGGAAGAGCTGGTCACATTTTTCTGGAAACAAAAAAATATATATATATCTTTTTTTTTTTTTCTTAGAAGGTATTTTTTACTTAAACATTCTTTTCTACGGTGCTGGAGATGGAACACAGGGCCTTGTTCATACTAAGCAGGTGCTGTTACAACTAAGCTGTGTACCCCCATGCCCGATTATTCATTTTAGATAACGTGATATCTGAATTACAGTCTTAAGGAATACATGATTAATGCAGCCTTGATATTTTGGGGCATTTTAGAAATACCCATATTGTATACTACTGTTGTGTTTGTATTTAGCCAAATTATTTTAAAATTGAGAAAAAAAGTAATTGTACTGAAATGGGGCAAGCTCTAGAGGAAACTGTGTCTAGATAGATATCCTTTTTCATTTACTTATCAATTTATTTATTTATCTTCTACAGAATAGCTGCTGAAACCATGTTTATACATTCTGACTTAAATAAAGCAAGAAACACCTTTAAGGAATTAACCCAAAAGGACTGGATCGCTAACACGGTGGTATTCTTCAGAGTGTTATTTGGAGAAAGAAAATGCACTGGAACTTATAAGAATCCAAAGTTTCAGAAGAAATATTTTCTTTTAAGAGATTCTCTGAGACCCTGTAATTCAGCCAGGTTAAGTTAAACTGAGATAGCATTTAGAGTTTCCCCATCTAGGGTGAAATAATTGACATGGCAGTCACATAGGTTACAAATAGTCTAAATAGTGCTCCATACACAAACACATACACACATACATGCATACAATTCCGGAGTGAAGTTTTTCAGTTCAGGGCTTTCGAAGGCTATTTAAGGATTGTTGAGTTTGGCACACTAGAATCAGAACAACATTTTATATGCAATTCTTTTAAGCATAAATACAGAAATGAGAACACTTTTTTCCTGATATAAACATCTCCCTCATCTTTTCTAATATAAACATTCTTCCTCTCTGTTTTGTTTATACTTCTCCCTTTTCTGTAGGTTCTAGAATATTCTTGTTCTTTCTGGGACTGTTGCTTCCTGCTCCAACCCTGTTATTACTGTCTTTAGGTTTTTCACTTGCAAATATTGCAAACATGCTTCCTTTATTAACAGCCCTTTGTGATGCAGGCTGCATTATTTCCCTATTCTGTTTTACTGGTTCATCTTGGGGTAGTACTTCCTGTAGTCTCAATTTTTTTTTTCTTTTTTAACGTCTGGTTCCTTCTTTTTCTTCCTGTATGCTCCCTCCTCTCCTCCTTGCTCCCACCCCTTTTTTCTGTTTTTCTCTCTCCTGATTTTTCTGTCCCTCTCGGGCTTGCTCCCGTGTCTCTGCTCCTTTGCCCCTCTTGTTGCTCTGTCTGCCACAGTGCATGCTGTGTCTTAGCTGCAGTTTACCTTCTCTCATACTTTTCTTTCAAGATGATAGGGAAAGGGTTTTTTGTTTTGTTTTGTTTTTGTGAGGTTTTGTTTTTTTTTTTTTTTTTTTTTTTGGTAACAGGGAGAGACACGGTCTCACCTAGTTGCTTTGAGTCTCACTATGTGGCTGAGGCTGCCTTTGAACTTATGCTACTCCTGCTTCACCCTCCCGCCCCTGGGATTACAGGCATGCACCACCACGCCCAGCCAGGAAAGTGTAATTCTGTTAATTTCGGGAGAAACATGGGCCATTTAGAGGTTGGAAACAAAATGAACCCCTATGGCCAATTTTATCAGCATTTATTCTTGCTCATTTACTTTGACTCTTTGAATTCCTCCTGTCAAGGTCAGTTTAACTTTTTCTGATTCTGAGTCACTGCTGCTGAATGCAGCCATAGAAAAGGCAACCAAAAGCAGGTGTGACAGAGAGGGGTTGGATCAGCTCATCACTTGGGGTCCTCCTTGCATACTAATTACACTTTGGTTATGCCAGAAGAATAGCATAGGACGGGTGATATACTCAGAGGGCATTTTTCACATCCAGAAGGAGAGAGTCATTAGATTAGAAAAACTAAGATGTTCCTTTTTATCTTGAGATTTGGTAATATGGACTCACAGACTTTTGGCATTTGTTCGTTTATTCAGCAAACATTTAATTGTGTGCTTAGGTGCACTGCATGATGATTTTTACCCGCTTTGGTACCCAGAATTGAACACAGGGGTGCTAAACTACTGAACCACGTCCTTTGCCCTATTTGTTTTTTATTTTGAAACAGGGTCTTGCTAATTTGTTGAAGGCCTTGCTAATGAACTTGCAATCCTCCTGCCTTAGCCTCCCAAGTCAGTGGGATTACAGGCATAYACCACTGCGTCCAGCTAAATTCTTGATGAAAAATGAAAAAAGACATGCTACTGTCCTTTGGAATCTCATGGTTTAGTGAGGGAGACAAGACACCTGTGTAGACACTAGTGATCATGCTTCCCCTAGTCCCTAGCTTAGAATTGGTGTACAATAAATATTTTCAGGTAAATGCATTTGTTCCTAAGGTATCGAATGGTCACTTCTACTTAATGTACTGAAAACAAGCTACCCAGAGGAAGGAGCTCACCAGGGGTGTAGGGAAGCCCTTCAAGGCAGCAGGAAAGGTGTACCCCAAAGTAAATGCAGTGTGTGAAGCAGTGACATTGGCTTGATATCTGACTATAGTTCTAGAGATTGGGGTGGGTTTGGAGGTTGGAGGCTGTGGCTGGTGAGGAGAGGTAGGAGTGTGTTTGTTGTGCCATTGAGGTATTAAGTAGAGTCATCAGAACTATGCCACTCCAAGGACTAAACTTCATAGTGGGAACTCAATATAATGTGTGATATAAAAATAAACAGTTATAAGAATTTGCATATTTAGAGCTGTCATTTAGTATATCATAATTTAGTAGTCCAATGTTTGGACATTGAAGGGACTAAGGATGTGGCTCAGTGGTAGAGTGCTTGCCTACCATGCACAAGGCCCTGGGTTCAATCCCCAGCACCACCAACACAACAAAAGAGTATGAACATTAGAGTCAGAAAGATTCAGGAGAGAATCTCACGTAGCTGTGTGACCATGAGCAAGTTACTTAATTTCTCTGAAGTACAGATTTCTCATCTATAAAATGGGTTTAATAACACCTTTGTTATAAGAGAAGCTATATTTATTAAATAACTTAATTAATATATAATATCTATCAAGTAGGACTTCATAAATACTAGTTTAAAGGGGCTTTTAAATTAATGCTGCTGTACACACATAGCAAATAAAAATTCAGAATTCAATTTGGGTTTTTCCTGAAAGGTTAGATCCAAATCAGGGAAACTATAATTAGAGGCACTAGAAACAAGCATTCATGGTAGAGACAAGGTCCTATGCGAAGATAATAGAAACCACATTGTGTTGAGAGTTTTATTTTGTTTACGTTATTGGATTCGGACACATTCTTCTTTTTTCAGAAAATGGGGTGTCATGGTGTGAACCAGAGGACAGAGTGTAGTGTTAATTATTGGGAAAGCTGCCTATTCTGAATCCGTTGTTCATTCAGTGTCATCCTCACACCTGTGGTTTCTTCCTGATCTCATTCTTGTGCCCAACATTGAACAGTGGGAATATGTGTCTTGTATCTGTACCTCTGTATTAGGGAACCTTGGCAAGATGGGTTGTCAATGTGAGTTTCAGGGAAACTAAAYGAGTATTCAGATTTCCTTCTGGAGGGAAACTCCAGGTTCTACACTGTGTTTGAACTGATGATGTGGCACCCAGTTCCTGAGTTTTGAATGCCTTTTCTCTCATTCTTGCTGACCACAGATAACTACCTGCCTCAGAGATAATCTGCTCAAAAATCTGCCATTTTGTTTTCTACACCAAGAAGCTTTAGAAATTTTCTTCCTTCTCCCAGAGTGTCCAGTGATGCATGATTTTAACAACTGGGAGAGCCTGGTGGTTCCGTTTGCAGAGACTATTTGTAAAATGAGTGACCAATCACTAGGGATTCTGGGTAAGAGTGATGGTTTATGATTTATGATTGAATATACTTCACCCATCTTAATGGAAAGACATGCCTGGTTACATGCTAAAATTATAATAGAATTTAGATATAATAATATATTCATGTGTTACAGTTTATATTCTTAGCATACTCTTAAAGATGCTGTAATAATTACTATGGTCATTTAAAATGATTATTCTAGTACTTTTTTAGAGTTCTTGGAATATACATGCTTGGCTTGGTCATGAGGTCCTTCTTTCCGAACATTTCATTATAAATTTTTTCACAAATACAAGGAAGATGAAAGAACAGGAGAGCAATGACTCATGTATCTTCTACCTTAGAGTCATCAACAATGAATGTGTGGTCATTTGTGCTTTCTCTTCTATTCAGATTACCTTTTAGTTTTGCTTAACTATTTGAAAGTAAGTTGAGGATGTGAGATTTTGCTCATTTCAGCATTAATATTGAATTGTCCATTAACTTCATATGATCATCAAACTTAAGAAAATTAGCCATAATTCCATGATACGACCTTATATCTAGGCCATATTGAAATTTTCTCAGGAAATATTTTACAGCTTTTTTGTCTTTTGGCATTTATATACAATGGAGTATTACTCTGCATTAAAAAATGACAAAATCATAGAATTTGCAGGGAAATGGATGGCATTAGAGCAGATTATGCTAAGTGAAGCTAGTCAATCCCTAAAAAACAAATGCCAAATGTCTTCTTTGATATAAGGAGAGTAACTAAGAACAGAGTAGGGAGGAAGAGCATGAGAAGAAGATTAACATTAAAGGGGACAAGAGGTGGGAGGGAAAGGGAGAGAGAAGGGAAATTGCATGGAAATGGAAGGAAACCCTCAGGGTTATACAAAATTACATACAAGAGGAAGTGAGGGGAAAGAGAAAAAAAAAAGAGGAGGAGAAATGAATTACAGTAGATGGGGTAGAGAGAGAAGAGGGGATGGGAGGGGGGATAGTAGAGGATAGGAAAGGCAGCAGAATACAACAGACACTAGTGTGGCAATATGTAAATCAGTGGATGTGTAACCAGTGTGATTCTGCAATCTGTATACGGGGTAAAAATGGGAGTTCATAACCCACTTGAATCAAAATGTGAAATATGATATATCAAGAACTATGTAATGTTTTGAACAACCAACAATAAAAATTTTTWAAAATAAAGAAAAAAAAAGAATTCAAATCCGGGGCTAGGCTTGTGGCTCAGTGGTAGAGTGCTCGCATGTTCAAGGCCCTGGGTTCAATCCTCAGCACCACATAAAAATAAATAAATAAATAAAATAAAATTTTGTGTACAACTACAAAAAAATATTTTTAAAAAAAGAATTTAAATCCATTGTTTTGTGGATTGTGTCACATCCTGATTGTCTAGGCATGAATAGATTTTAACAAAGATTTTTGACATACCTAGTATATTCAGTACTTGGTATGTCCACTCTTCACATTTTATTAAATCTAAACTGCCCAGGGTTGTGTTGCAAGTCTGTTACCCCAGCAATTTGGAAGGCTAAAGCAGGAAGATCACAAGTTCAAGGCCAGCCTCAGCAATTTAGTGAGGCCCTAAACAACTTAACGAGACACCTTCTTCTTCAAAAATTTTAAAAGGGTTGGGAATGTAGCTCAGTAGTGAATTCTAGCACCCAAAATAAACTGTATTATAAGTGATGAAAAGATATTTTAGAGTGGTTATTTGGTTTTAATTTTTTAAATGAAATATGTGTTCTAAGAATTAAAGAGTTTGAGTCATAAACAGTTCCTAATTTAACAATATGGTTTTTCATCTAGGCAAAGAAAGTGATTAATGTCTGAATTTTTTTCACAAATTGGTTAAAACAAGTTTTTCTTTTTTAACAATAAAAGAGTGTTTCTGTTGTTGTTTTAAGATTTTTTTTTTTTGTAGTTGTAGATGGGTACCATACCTTTATTTTATTTATTTATCTTTATGTGGTGCTGAGGATTGAACCCAGTGCCTCACACATGCTAGGCAAACGCTCTACCACTGAGCTACAAACCCAGCTAAAAGAGTTCTTTCAGGATGTAAAAATCTAGTATTTCTTAGTACTTTTGAAATGCTTGTGTATTAATTACATTTATTCACTGGTTTATTACAAATGTGTTTCGATAATTATGACATATATAAAAAATTTTTGGTATGAATTTGGGGCACTGTTGACCCCCCTTTTTTTTCCTAAGAATCCAAGAGAAATTACCTACTAGCAATTACATTTGTCTTCTTTTAATTCCTCAGAAGAGTATTGGGCAACTCTGCAAGAATCCACATTCAGAAACCTGGTTCAGATGTTTATGAAAGCCATCAACTCTCAGCTGCATTACTGGACTGAAAAGAATGAGAATAACTGTCACCTTAAAGCTCTACTAGAAATTTTGAAAAAGCTGCATAGGGTAAGGGTTCATTTAGAAACCTCCATGTCTGTAGTTGGCAATTATAGTTGATTCTCTTTTAATTGGCCTGAATTTTAAGCAGGCTCATGAAACATAAGAAATTTATATTGCCTTTTTCTTTTTTCTCTTTTAATAAAAAGGAAAAAGTGTTTTATTGCTTTCCTAGCAAAGGAGAAACACAAGACTCTTATCCCTGAGTCTGTTGATTCTGCCCATGGTGGAGGTGGGGTTTAAAGAGGAAATTCAAAGGCTGCATTCCAGGTGTTCTCTGTCTGGGGTTGTAATTCACTAGTTAAATTAGGAGAGAGTAATTTCTTAGGTCTTCTGATGCCATCCCCAAGTCAGTCCCTTTCTTTGGTTTGTTGTATGCTCAAGAGCAGGTAACTCTGCATAGGATGGTGAAGAAAGGTAATCTGTTTCCTGGAGAATTAGGAGGGAGATGAGGGAAGGAGAGGGAGTGAGGAAGAGAAAGAACATGTTTGTTTTAAAAATAAGTCACAGTGGCAGAGCAGCAAGAGCTATATTCAAAGCGTAAAGCAGACCACTGTTACATTTCCCTGCTGACAACTTTTACATTCCATTGCTATGGGAAAATGAGCAATGACATCTCCAAGCTTCTTCCCTCTAGAAGAGGGTGAAATTGAGGGGAAGTGGCCTGAAGTCCTTGTTCTCCATCAGGTGTAGATTGCTATTTTTTAATGTTGTGTTTTTTAAATTACATCATTGACATAAAGGATTATTCCATTTGGCCCTCCATGTCTGTGGGTTTCACATCCAGGGATTCAACTGAGAATTTAAAAGCATTTGAAAACAAAAATCACATCTGTTCTGCACATGTGCAGACTTTTTTCCCCCCCTTTTCATTATTCGCTAAATAATACAGTATAACAGCTATTCCTGCAGCATTTATGTTACATTAGATATCAAGTATCTAGATATTTAAAGTAGATGAGAGGTTATGTTTGGGTTACATGAAAATGCTGTGCCATTTTAAATAAGGGACTTCAGCAGCTATGGATTTTGGTATCTCTAGCGGGTCCTTGAACCAATCTCCCATGGATCCTAAGGAATAACTGGATATAATATCTATGTACAGAAGATACACAAATAGATATAATACCTATTTGAAGAAAGGTAATAAACATCAGATACCTAAAACATAAAACATTTCCAGTACTTTTGAAAATGCTGGTATATCCCTCAGAGATCACACTCTTTCCACTTCCCAGAGGTAGCTGTGAACCTGGATTTGGGGTTAATCATTTCCTTTCTCTTTCTATTTTATGTCTATAATATGTGTGTCTGTAAGCATTATGATGTTTACTTTTGCTGTTTTCAAAATTTATATGAATTATATTTGATATTTTGCTTTATAGATTACTCCAGATAATACTGATTGGCTGTATTTCATTCATTTCCACCGTGTACTGCGGTCCATTCTCTAGTACAAGCAGTAATACATGCATTCCAGTATTGATGAATGCATATGCTCTTTCAGTTCCTTGGTTCAGTTTGGTTTGGTTTGGTTTTGGAGTGGGTATTCCCTTATGAGAAAACATATTGTTATAAGTATTTTCATACTTATCTCTTGGTTTTCTTGGGCCAARAGTTGATTTTTTTGTTTTCATAGCTGATTCTGGAATTGATAGGTTATGGAAATATGTGTTCTTTTTTAATAGTGACAAACTATTTTCTGAAATGACTAGATCAGTTTAATTCTTCTCTAGGAGATTATGAGAATTCCTATTGTTCCACATCAGGCTTTAAAATTTAGAAGACATGTTTTATATGAAATGATACCAAATTATGATTTTAAATGAACTTCCCTGGTTCTAATGTATTAGAGCATATTTTACATGTTTATAATTGCATTATTTGTTTCCTCTTCTCTGAAATGTCTGTCCTTGAATCATGTTCATTTTACATGGATATTTGCCTTGGCTAAAGGAGTTTTTTAAAATTTTAAACACTGGTCCTTTGTTAATTATTTGTGTTATAAATATTGAGTACTGGTTTATAGCTTGTCTTTCACTCTAGTGTTTTTTAACAAATCTTATTTTTTATTTATTTATGCATTTGTTTGTTCATTTATAGTACTTTTTTTAGATTGAACCCAGAGATGCTTAACCATTGACCTATATCTCTCTTTTTTCTTTTTTTTTCTTCTTTTTCTTTTTGGTACCAGAGGTTTGACCCATGGGTACTTTACCACTGAGGTACATCCCCAGTCCTATCTATCTATCTATTATTTTGAGATAGGATCCTGATAAGTTGCTGAGGGCTTCCCTAATTTGCTGAGTCTGGTCTTGAATTTGCAATCCTCCTGTCTCAGCCTCTCAAGTTTCTGGAATTACAGGTGTGCACCATTGCACCTAGCCCCAACCCTTAATTATTCTTATTTTTCATTTTTAATAGAGTCTCACCAAGTTGCCCAGGCTGGTCTCAAACATGAGATCCTCCTGCTTGAGCCTCCTGAGTAGCTAGGATTACAGATATACATTGCACCTGGCACTTGATAGTTTTCAGAGGATGATAGCCAAGGCCAGAGGAAGAAGATACATGGAAGCAGATATTTAGAATATTAGAAATATAACTAACAGGGCTGGGTTTGTGGCTTAGTGGTAAAGTGCTTGCCTAGCATGTGAGAGGCACTGGATTTGATCCTAAGCACTACATAAAAATAAGGTATTGTGTTCATCTAAACTAAGAAGAAAAAAATCAAATGTACTTATTAAAAAGAAAGAAAGAAACCTAACTAACAAACTCTTAAATGTACTCTATCCTCCCTCCTAGAAAAATAAAACCTAATAATGACAGGGGGAGCTAGGGTGGAACTCAGAAATTTCAAGCTCCTTATAGCATTCTACACTGAAAAAAGTGGCAGCTCAGACAGGTCCCTCACTGAGCCCTCTGTACTTCTTTTCTTACGTGAGGAATGTCACATGCCTGTATGTGGATGCTTCCACCCACATACCCTGGCTTCATCCACCTCTACCACAAGTACTTCTTGGCCAGCCCTGAGACTTGGAGTGTGACAGAGTCCACTCTCCAGCAACCAAGCAGGTCGTAGAGGCTGGCATGGAACCACTGTGCAAGATATGTGGGCTATAAGTAGACAGATCACTGTGGCTCTTGTCTAGATCTAGAGGAAAATGCTTTTAGTTTATTCCTTCAGAATTTAGTGTTTAATCTAATTGAAAATTGATATCAAATTTATATTGATTGTTTTTCACATGGAAAATAATTAGTAACCATTAATTGAAATAGTGCCCTTTCCCCACTGATGGGAAGTTCAAGCTTGGGCACTGTCATAATTCAGGTTTCTATGTGTGGCATTCATTTCTGGGCTCATTGCTGTATTAATGGCCATTTCTGACTCTCTTCTGATTGTTTATATCTGGTAAGAGAAGTATCCCTACTTTGTTTTTGAAGTGTATTTTTGGTTATTTTTTGCACTTGCCTCTTCTGTATAAATTTTAAAGTTGATTTGTCAAATTACACAAATACAAAAAAAATCTTATTGGGAATTTGACTGGAGTTACATTGAATCCACATTTCACTTTAGGGAGAACTGTATCTTTACTATGACTGAAAGTCTTGGATTTTTTTAACTGGTTCCGAGATACTTAGTCATTTTTAGGCTATTGTAAATCGTGATTTAAAAATTATAGGGGCTGGGGTTGTGGCTCAGCAGTAGAGCACTTGCCTCACACAGTGTGAGGCAATGGATATAAAAATAAATAAACAAAATAAAGGTATTGTGTCCATCTACAACTTAAAAAAAAWTTTTTTTTTAATTATATTATGACCAGGCACTGAGGCGCACACCTGTAATCCCAGCGGCATGGGCGAGTGACCAAGCAGGAGGATCTCAAGTTCAAAGCCAGTATCAGCACCTTATAAGAACTTGCCTCAAAATAAAAAATATTTTTAAAGGGCTGGGGATGTGATAAAGTGCCTCTGGGTTCAACCCTGAAATGTACGTAGGTAAATAAATTATGTTACTAGCTTATGGGAACACATTAATTTTTTATTTATTTTTATTTTTGGTAGTGCTGGTATCAAACCCAAGGCCTTGTGCATACTAGTCTAACACTCTACCACTGAAATACACACCCCTAGTCCCAGAATTCATTGATTTTTAAATGTTGATTCTTATATTAGTTACTGCTAAATTCTCACATAGATCTTCTGATTTATCTGAAGATTGTTTTGAATTTGCTGGGTTTTTTGTTTTCACTTTTTACTACTTTCCCATATTACACTAGATAGGCAATAGAGTGCAAATAGAAGTGGTAGTAATAGCAGGTACCTTGTCTTGTGATTTTAAAGGAAATGTTTTGCATGTCACTATTAAATAGAATATTTATTACATGGTTTTTGAAAATATATCTTTAATGGTCTGAGGATGTGCCCTCCTTTTCAAAGTTGTTGCATATTTTAAATTTAAGCCAATAATTGATGCTGTCCTACTGAGATTCCAGTTATATTAGACCATCTCACTGAATATCGCTATGTGTCTCAAGCTTTCTGTCTTATTTTCCATCTCTTTGTCTCTCTGTACTCCATTCTGGGTGATGATTGTTTTTTGAGGGGGACTAAACTCAGGGGCACTCAACTGCTGTGCCACGCCCCATCCCTATTTTGTGTTTTATTTTTATTTAGAGACAGGGTTTCCTGAGTTGCTTAGTGAATTGCAGTTACTGAGGCTGGCTTTGACCTCTGGATCCTCCTGCCTCAGCCTCCCAAGCTATTGGGATTACAGGAATGCACCACCACACCCAGTCATTCTGGATGACTTCTTCAACCTTGTCTTCCATTTCATGAATTCTCCTTTCAGTTACGTCTTTCTGCTATTAAAACTACCCTTTACTTTTTTATTAATTTTAAGTATGAATGTTTTTCATTTTCAGACATTGTGATTTGTTCTTTACATTTATTTTCTTGGTCATTTTTTACAATATATTTTTTCAAGTTTTCCCTTTATTTAAATGTATATGTTATAACTCTAATACCTGAAGTACTTACAGGTCATTTCTTATGTCTGCTGAAAGCTCCTCCTGTCTCTCATCATGTGTTTTGTATTTGTGTTGAGAAAGTTTCATTCACCTTAGAGGTTTATCTTTTGGAATTAGTTGGTGGCTAGGATTTTTTTCAGGGAGAATTTGTTTCTGCTGTGTTCCTGCAGATAATTAAATTCTTGGCTTCAAGCATTTTAGATCCCCAGGTGGTAGGAGTTTAGTGTGCATATTTGTAGGAGAGCTCTAGTAATAACAAGTCCTCTGGGGAATATTTTTTCCCCAACTCAACACCATTCCAAATTGCTATAGTTTGCCTTATGGCCCTAGGGTTGAGGTGGAGGCGGATTGATAGAGGTGAAGGAAAGAATTTATTTCTAGGTCACCTTCACTCTGATGGCTTCGCCCTTTGGGTCTCAGGCCTGGGGATAGGATCTATTGACTCCCTAATTGGAACAGTGTGGTGGACTTTGTGTCCTTTCCCTGAAGGTCAAGTTCACAGGATTTGGCAAATGCCACCCTCACCTCAGTTTTGACCTGACTGTTCCCTATCTACTACAAAATCAGTAATGACTTCAAAATGTTTTCACAATTTCCCCTGTATTTCAGGTTTTCATTGGATCATCATTGCTAAAGAAGAAAAGCCTTCTATACTATTGAAAATAGTGGCTATCCCAGACTACATTCATTCATTTGTTCCTTTATTTATAGTACTAGGGATTGAACCCAGGGGCCCTTTACATCCCTAGCCCTTTTGTTTTTTATTTTGAGACAAGGCCTTGCTAATTTGCTGAGGCTGACCTTGAATTTGCAATCCTTCTGCCTCAGCCTCCTGAGTTGCTGGGATTACTGATGTACACCCACCACATCTGGCTCTGTTCTGGATTATTTCTAAAGGTCTTTTTTTAAAATATTTTTATTAGTTGTTGATGAATTTTATTTAGTTATTTATTTGTATGTGGTGCTGAGACTCGAACCCAGTGCCTCACATGTACTAGGCAAGTGCTGTACCACTGAGCCACGATCCCAGCCCCTCTAAAGGTTTTGTATAAAAGGGAAAGATAATTTTTTTAAATGGGGTTTTTAAAAAGCAAGAAATTTATGGAAGAGCTCAAAGAAGTATCCTCTAAAGAGTTTTTACCACTTACAAAGAAAATCATGAGAAATGCTCAAGCAGTAATGGAAGAAATCCTCAAGGGATTTGTAAATAGTGTATTGTTAAGCTCTAGAAGAGTAAGAAATGAAGAACTGGCTTTTGCCTTTGGACTTAAAATGCTTTAAAAACTTTCCTCTGAATTTAAAGTAATTAAAAGTTTATCATATCATCAATTTCTCCTGTTAATTTTTGGGTATTCTTTTTGTTCATGAAAATTGGGGGATTTGGCAATTGGATACAATTTTACTGTGGTCATTAAGAATCGTTAATTTACTGTTTAATTCAATAATGTAACTAACAACCATTAAGTAAAATTGTCTTTAAATATAAAGTGTTCTGATGTCACATTTTATTTTAGGTAAACCAAATTAAATATCAACTACCTGAAGATATTTTCAAACTAGATGTACTCTCAGATTGGCTCAATTTTTATGGAGAAGCATATAGAAGGTCCTGTTGGAAAATGAACTTGGTAAGTTTGGCATGTTTGAGGGGAGAAGATGATTATCAGTGAGTTAATTTAGATATTCTGCCCCAACTTTCTCCATGAGTTTCTGAGAAACTTTGCACTCTATAATTGCACAATTGAAATAGCAGGCTGGTAGGAAGAATAAGACTTATTAAAACCTATGCAGTTTTTCACCAGAAGCACTGGCAGAAAAGTGATTGTGCCTGGGACCAACCAGGTGAGCAGGCCTCAGGGAATGCTATAAGAAGAAGACAAATTTGCTGAAAAAGCAAAGGTAAAACTCTTTTCACGCTCTGAGAGAACTGGTTGTCTCTGATATTAAGACAACACAGATGGAAGCTCCAGTGCCTTTGGGGACCCCAAGACTCACCAGGCACCAAGAGCCAGCAGTCCAAAGCTACAGCTTTGGGGAGGGGGTCCTGGTGTAAGCACTCTTTGTTTGTTTTTAAAAAATATAGTTCATAGGTTTGTGATGCCAGTGCTGTAGCTGATTGAGGTTTTTTTCCCTTTCTCTGAAGATTATCATTCTTTTTCTTCTGGCATATCAACCCTTGCTTGATGAGACATGACTGAGTTAGCCAGCTCTCCACACTGTGTCAATCCCCTGTTCCCCGAGCTGATTCACATTTCAGACACTCAGGTTGCTGTGGGATAGACTCTTTTAGAACATGTCCAAAGTTTATAATTGCTAAATTAAATGGTGCTGAAAATATTAGGCTTATATAGCTTTCATTGGTGACATGTTAAATACATTTTCTACAACTACTACTGCTGGCCAGCAATTTTGATTGCTGTGGCTAGAAGTACTGAAACTTTGAAACCAAAAGGGATTTAAGGCTATGAGGTAAGGTGTAAGAGGTCTCTGTTCTTCTAATTTATCAGAATTCTTATCGTTTTCATTTTTAGGATACTTCAGAAGATATGCATTGTGTCATATTCAGTCACTTTCCATTTGTTTTTGATATTCGGTCAAAAACTAAACTACTTTATGCAGACTCAATTCTAAAAATACAGGTACGAATGCCTAGTTCTCTGTCTTCGTTAACATAAATTACAAGATAAATTCCTTCTTGAGTGTGCCCTTTTTGGGGGGTGGTAAGGGAGCCCCTGTTGGCAAGGCCACAGCTATGGCATTTAAGAGAACCAATAAAAAATAAATAAAAATATATTAAAAAAAAAAAAGAAAGCCAGGGAAGGAGCTGGGATTGTGGCTCAGTGGTAGAATGCTTGCCTAGTATGTGCAAGGCGCTGGGTTCCATCCTCAGCACCACATAAATAAATAAGTAAATGAAAGAAATAAAGGTATTGTGTCCAACTACAACTAAAAAGAAAAAGAAAGCCAAGAAAACTCAGAATTTAGGTTGCTCAGACCTTAGGCATGTTAGGGCATCTGTCACAAAGGACAGATCTTGAGCAACTGACCTAGTTGTGATGTTTTTACCTGAAGTTGTCAAGGGAGCCTGTAGTCTTCTGAAGTATCACTAATCTAGGTGTGATTAGGATTACTTCTAATACTTAAGGAGGTACAATCTAATGGAAAGGTATACAGCAGGAATAAAATGTGACAAAGGAGCCTTGAAATTAGGACCTCTATAGGTAGTACTCTGAGTGTTCCATTTCAATGTACTGTCAGCAGCTTAAGTGGTTTTGTTTGTCAGGACATCTAGCAAAGTGGTTTTGGACCTAAAACTGGACAAGTGAAAGCATTAAAGGGCCTGAGGTATAGCTAGGTTTATATGGTAGAGCACTTGGCCCTGGGGTCAATCTCCAGCATCACTCCACACACACCACCACTCCAGAAAAGAAAAATTCACAAGGAAAATATATCAGATAATCCCTACCTCACTGTTGTTTTGAAAGGATTAAATTTGTTAATAAAGCATTTAAAACAGTACTTCACACAATGTACATTACCCAAAGTAATAGCAATTGCTATCAACATACTCTTGTATACAGACATGTATATATGAATGTATAATATTCAAATAAAAGTCCTTAAAATAAGATACTCTCACATAATGCATTTACAAAATAGGATATCATTTATAACTTAAGTGTGATCATTCTTGGAATATTTAACAAAGAAAATGAATTTTAAAAAGACACAAAAACTTCGTTTTGCTTCAACTCTCATACTCTATTTTCCCCTGATTTTAAGCAAACTTCCAGTGATAATTTTAGTTCTTTATTATTTATTTTTTTATATGTGGTGCTGAGGATTAAACCCAGGGCCCTACACATAACTAGGCAAGCACTCTATTGCTAGAGCCACAGGCTTCCCAAATTGCCATTTAATTTGAGAATAAACATTCTACCTACCTTACTTTCCTCTATCTCTTCTCTCTCTCTCCTCCCCTAATTATTCCTCTCTTCTATTAACTTCTACCTGGATTTTTCCTACAGCCTGCTTCCTTTCTAAACATCTGACTTTTAAATGAGAGTTTTATGCTGCAGTGCACTGTCCCAGTGAATAATATTGAATCTCTCAGCCTTAAAAAACCTAAACATTAATAGTTGTGTTAAGATAAAGTGGTCCTGGGCTGGGGATGTGGCTCAAGCGGTAGCGCGCTTGCCTGGCATGCGTGTGGCCCGGGTTCGATCCTCAGCACCATCCTCAGCACCACATACCAACAAAGATGTTGTGTCCACCGATAACTAAAAAAAAATAAATATTAAAAAAATATTCTCCCTCCCTCTATTAAAAAAAAAAAAGATAAAGTGGTCCAGTAAAACCTACATTTGGTCACTTCCCTGCATGTTTAGTTTGGCTCTGCACAGTATTTTGTTCCAAAGGTCCCACATTTCTTCTGCTTGCTAAGAGCAAATACTGAATGTATTGTTTACTTCCGGGGGTTTATATAAGGCTCATTTCATAAATGCAAGGTGTAATTATAAGTAAAACTGGTTTATTCCATTTTACAAATTTCTATAAAGAGGGAAAATAGCAAAATGAAATGAAACATTTTTCTTTCCTTAGGAAAGAAAAATTCGAGCTTACGTGAGTTTGGCAGGAATTATTGAACAAGAAGAATCTGAATTAGCTTCATTGTCCACCTTTAATCTAAGAGTCAGAAGGAATCACTTGATTGAGGATGTTTTGAGTCAGCTCAGTCAATTTGAGAACGAAGACTTGAGGAGAGAGTTGAGGGTAAAGTATATTTGTCATTTATAATTCTTGGTGTTGAGAGAAGAAAAAAAAGAAAGGAACAAAGGGTGTTAGAGGAAGTCCTCTCCCTTTGCCACAAGGTGGTCTTTAGGGGCTTTTTCTGGTCCATTGTGTTTCCATTGGTAGTTGTAGCCTCTCCTCAATGCCCTTGGGGTTAAGCAGCAAGTGTACATGCTCTGGCTTTCCAGTTTTTTGAAAATCCTAATATTTATGATTTGTTTATTTAATTTTTATTATGTTTAAGGGACCTGATTACTAAAATAGAGATGCCAGTCAAGGACTGTTTTATGGTAAAGACTTCTAGGTCTGGGGTATAACAGATTTAGGATGAAATCTGGACTGTGCTCCATAGCTGTTGACAAAAACTTGGGAGAGTTATTGAAATTCCCAAGCCTTATTACCCTCTTAGAGTTAATTGGGAAACTAGATAGGATAAAACAAGTAGGATGCAAACCACAATACCTACTAAAACTTGGGTTCAAAATTGTTAGTAACTATTATTACAAAGAGAAACTTCATACAGAGCCCTGGAAGTGATACCTTATTTGCTGTTTCCCCAGGTTTCATTTATTGGAGAAATTGGATATGAATATGACCTTGGAGGAGTCAAGACAGAATTTTTCTACTGTTTATTTGAAGAGATGACCCGGCCAGAATATGGGATGTTCATATATCCTGAAGAGGCCTCCTACATGTGGTTTCCTGCCCGGGTGAGCCCTCTTTTCTTTGCTTGTGGTATTCCATGACCATAAAAATGTGTCATATGCCACAGAAAACTATTTTATGGTAGGAGTTATTGATGTCATTTTGAGATAATCTTATAAGGATTTAAGGATTACTAAGCCAAATATGTTTTTGTTCCTGTTATGGTTTTAGTATGATGAAACTGTGGTAGGCACTTAATAACCAAATATATTGATTTAATATCCAAATATAAACCCTAAATATCCTTTTTTTTTTTTTAGTACCATGGTTGAACCCAAGGGTGCTTAACCATTAACTGAGCCACATCTCCAGCCCTTTTTTATATTAGATTCAGAAACAGGGTCTTGCTGAGTTGCTTAGGGTCTTGCTAAGTTGCTGAGGTTAACCTTGAATTCACAATCCTCCTTCCTCAGCTTCCCAAGCCCCTGGGATTACAGGTGTGCACCACTACACCCAACTAAACCCTAAATGTTCTTACCTCAGAATTTTTGATGTTATTTTGCAATTTGATTTTGTGAAAGTGGAAAAGGAATTTACCTGACATGAACATTTCACTGTAATGAAAAAGAATTCGTAATACTTTGAAATTGCTTTTCTCTTTTCAGCCTAAATTTGAGAAGAGATATTTCTTCTTTGGGGTTCTCTGTGGACTTTCCCTTTTCAACCGCAGTGTGGCCAACATCCCTTTCCCACTGGCACTGTTCAAGAAGCTTTTGGACCAGGTGCCATCATTGGAAGACTTAAAAGAACTCAGTCCTGTTTTGGCAAAGTAAGGAACACAGTCCTCTTTTAAGATCTTATCTAAAATATATTAAGATATTAAGATAAATATTTAAATATGCACACTGCATTGTTATTTCATGTTTGACATTAGCATTTWAGGTACTTTGAACCACTTTTAACTCTGGTAAGAACTGTTGGACAATAGTTTCATGTTCGAAAATTAAGAAGAGTTGATTGTTCTTATGACTTACACCTCGGCACTCAGTATTATCTTTGAGCATTTTCTATGTGGAAAATTTCATGGGCAGACACAATACCTTGGTGCAAAATCAGCTAATGATGTTTATATTAGATGTTTCGTGGTCATCACTTTTTTTKGGGGGGGGGGTACTCGGGATTGAACCCATGGGTGCTTTACCACTGAGCCACATCCCCAGCTCTTTTTAAGTTTTATTTTGACACAGGGTCTCTCTAAATTACTTAGGACTTTGATAAGTTGCTGAGGCTGGCCTTAAACTTGCAATTCTTCAGCTTCAGCCTATGGAGTTTCTAGAATTACAGGCACGTGCAACTACACCAGGCTAGTTATCACCTTTAAAGTAGAAATTTACTTTTTAGTTGAAAGACAAAGTACCACGTGGGAAACATCGGTAACATACATATTGTCCCTGCTGTGCAACACTTTCCCTACACATCCTTAATACAAATTGACAAAGTATCTGAGAAGACAAACAACAAAAGAAACAATAAAATGGCTCACAATTAAAAAGGTGTTCAGTCTCACTAGTGCTCCTGGAGTATATGTTAACATGAGAAGGTATCTGGTGCTTCAAACTGAGAGAGGATTGAGATATTGGTGCTAAATTGAGGTAACAAGGGTTTGGGGAAAGGTTTACTCTTATTTCAGGTATTTAATGGAAATGTAAATTAGTACTCCTTTTTCAGAACAGTGTGACATGGTACTTGTGAAAATTAAAACTGTATATGGCCTTTGACTCAGCAAGTCTACTTCTAAATATTTCACTTTTAGAAATATATAGCCACAGGCTGAGGGTGTAGCTCAATGGTAGAGTGCTTCCCTAACATACGTGAGGCCCTAGGTTCAGTCCCCAGCACTGCAAAAAGAAAAAGAAGAATAAAGCAAAACCCTGCAATAGTTTGTGATACTAACCTACATTGTATTATAATTTATAAAAATATAAGAGCTTCCTAAAATGTCCTTTAATATTTATGTGTGTGTATATATATATATATATATATATATATATATATATATTTGGGGGGTGGGTACTGGGGATTGAACTTGGGGGCACTTTACCATTCAACTACAACCCTCATTGGTTTTATTTTGAGAGAAGATCTTGCTAAGTTCTGAGACTGGCCTCAAACCTATAATTTTCCTGCCTGAGCCTTCCTACTCACCAGGAGCAGTAAGATTTCTTGATTGCTTAAAGTAAAATGTGAGAAGAGAGAAATGATGTAAAGATTGAATTTGTGACGCAGTGATGTACACCTATAATTCCTATAGGATTATATAATCAGCTATGCAGGAGGCTGAGACAGGAGGATCACAAGTTTGATGGGGTTGGCCTGGGCAACTTACTTAGTCCCTGTCTTAAAATAAATTTTAAAAAGGACTGAGATGTATCTGAGAAGCAGAGCATACCTGGCATCAGTCTTTAGTACTAAAAAAAAAAAAAAAAAAAAAAAAAAAAGGAATTTGTACTCAAAGGGAAGTAGAACATAAAGATTTGGAGAAATTTGCGGCCTGGCCATGTTGTAAAAAGCTGAAAAGGTGTGTTTGGGGGAGAACACCAAGGGGGTGTGGCCAAGCAATCTTTGGTAAAGAGGGTAGTGTGGATTAACTGGGGCCTGGCACTGTTCACCAAGATGATGGGAAAATGACTGACAGCATTTGTGGAAATCATCAGAGCTTCCACTCAAGGCCTAGGATACAGAACTGTGTCAAAGGAGAGACCCTAGGTATCATCAGACCTCACGGTCTAGCTTGGCACTGTATCAAATCTCTGCTCCCTGCATTCTAGCACAGTGCTCAGCCAATCCTACTGGGCTCCACTGAACTTGGGTTTGGTGTGGCTGCAGTGGCCACCCTTCTTGAGTGTACAGGTGGTAAATACACAGGTGCTAGGGGCTCAGGTGCCCCCATATTTGTAAGCGCACAGAGCACACATGCCTGGAGGTATGGCTTCCTTGACAGATTTCAGAGGGTGCCTGACAGAATCATTTGGCCCAGGCAGAGAATTGCCAAGAAGTGAGGCTTCCCTAGAGACCCCAGGACAGTAGAGCCACCAGCAAGCCACTCCAGCCTGAGAGAGCCACAGGTATATGGCTGCCACCATTGAGAGCTGTTAGGTGGGCAAAGCTATGGGGGCAGTTTCCAATCCCAGCCCTATCAAAGGTGAGCCATCCAAAGATTATTTTCAGACCTAAAAATTCCATGTTCACCCTTTAGGGTTTTTTGGATTTAACTTGGGAACTGTTTCCTCTTTCTCTTGTCTCTTTTCTAGCTTTTTTAGGGGGATGAGGGATACCAGGGATTGAACTCAGGGGAACTTGACCACTGAGCTACATCCCCAGCCCTATTTTGTATTTTATTAGAGACAGGGTCTTACTGAGTTGCTTAGTGCCTTGCTAAATTGCTGAGGCTGGCTTTTAACTCTCTATCCTCTCGCCTCTGCCTCGAAAGTTGCTGGGATTACAGGCATACACCACCACGCCTGGCCTCTTATCTCTTTTCTAGAATAAGAATGTCACCTATTCTGTCATTGGAAGCAATAACTTGTTTGATTTCACAGGGTTACAGCTAGAGAGTAATTTACCTCCTTTTCTCCCTAAAAAACAATAACTTTGATCTATTATGTTACAATATTGTAATAAAAGTCTGGTGGGGGTCGGGGAACACAGCTCCAGAGACCTTTCCCAAAGATAGGTGTCCCTTTGGAAATTTCTTTGAAGCTACACCTGTGTCTTTTACACACTTGCACAGATCTGACCATACTGTAGGGGGGACTTCCTCAGCATACCTCACCTATGTCCCTCAGGGTTAGTTGGTAATGGGTTAGTCTCACCTTTTACATTCCCTATGCCTTCCGTGTTGGGGTCTGCTTGAATGCTAAATGAATAAACGAGTGTGTAAGCAAAAATCAATTGGAGACATGTGACTTTGAAAGTATGTATAAAGTACCACAGCATGATAGGCTGGAAATCTGAAAAGGCTGGCTCCTGACCTCTTGATGGAAGCTGCTGTGAGAGGTGCCTTGAAATTAATAAGATAGTAGAATTTCAGGTTTTTCTTAAGCTCGATGGTACTGGGAAAAGAGAAGAGAAGGTCCTTTAACTTACTCCTCAGATTTCATGATATCCAATATTGATAGGAAACTTATTAATCTGTAGGTGAAATTCAAAAGCATAAAGAGGGCTAATGCCAGTTTGAATGAATTTTGGTGTCAGTAAACATGTTTTCCCTTTCTAGCTAGAAACCTGCATCACTGGGTTAAGAAAGTTAGGGTCGAAGGAAAAGAGCTACAAATCAGAAGGGACCCTACAGATGAGCTTCCTGTGCCTCACATTTTAGCTGAGTTCAGGCCCAGTTTAACTGTCAATCCACAGAAAATGGGTGCCATAAACATTAACCCCCGCCTTTGGATTAGCTGTACTCATGCCAGTAGTTATTATAGATGGTGATCTAAAATATCGAGTGATGAGACATTACTGTACTTTTAAAAACAAAATTCTTTCTTAGGAGTTTGCAGACACTTCTGGATGATGAAGGCAATGACTTTGGAGAAGTATTTTACGTCCATTTTAATGTGAGTAACAATAAAAACCTGATATTCAGTTTTAGCTTTGATTAATAACCCTTTAGATACTTTACCTAAATGTCACCTTTTACTTCAAAAAAAAATTCTAAATCATGTTAATGAAAAGAGGTTTTTTCCTTGTTTTTCATTAGTTGGGTATATTAAATTTTAACTATGTAACAACCTACCCTTAAACTTAGTAGCTCAAACATGACTCTGTGTGTCTGGGCTGGGTGAGTGGGGTTGGGTGATCTGCCATGGCCTTTACCACATGCCTGGTGATGGGCAGGTGGATTGGTTTATGGAGTGTCAGCTGAAACAGCTGGTCTTTGTTCCATGTGGGTTCTTATTTACTAATAGGCTAGCCAAGGCTGCTTCACAGGGTAGATAGCAAGCCTAACATACAGCAGCTTCTCAAGTTTCTGCTTCTGTCAGTTCCCATTGGCCAAAGTACTGCACATGGCCACCCCAGATTCARTGGCTGAAGATATGCACTCACCTCTTGATGGGAGGTATTGCCAAGTCACATTGCCCCTTTTAGGGGAAGGGAGGAATTGGTAGTCATTTTGCAAATCTGCCATACTGTCTACACTACATGTAAAGCAAATATTGAGTTCTGACAATTTTCTGATTAGTTTGTTAAACCTGATCAGTTAAGATGATTCAAGTTTTGAAAAAAAAAACTATTTAACATTCTTCATGATGAATGGTAGTTTTTTGTTTATACCTTTCTTCTAGTTTTTAATGACAAAGATGTACATTCTCATAAATCTTGTAGGAAAAAAGATTCACTCCCAAAGTATTTTTGGTGGTGATAAACTGTTCAGAATTATTTTTGGAGATGTTATCTGAGTTTATTTGTGTTCACAGTTGCATTGGGACAGAAATGACGTAGAATTAATTCCTAATGGAAGCTGCATAGTTGTCAACCAGACCAACAAGTATGTACAAAGAAATAAAGTATTTGGTTTCTATATACATAATATTTATTTCATTAAGCTCTAAAAGTTCTTTTTATTTTGTATAATTTTTTTTTATTCMTGTTAATCATTTTTCAGTAGGGCAGAGGAGTTGTGTGTTGTATGTATAGATATGTACACCATGGGGTTCATACTGTAATGAATGGAAATGGCAATTCTCAGAGAAACCTCCCCTTTTCCTCCTGTGTAAAATAATATACTACTAACCTCTTTTTCCCCTTATTTTGCTTTAGTTTTTTTTTTTTTTTAACACTTCACTTGCCCTCGGGATTTATTTGCTTATTTGTCAGTGCATGCCCCCCTCCCCCATAGTGAAAGCTGTGTGGTGGCAGAGACTTGATCTGTATACTTCACACTGCATGTTCAACCCTGAAGTGGTCTATAGTAGTGCCCTGTATGTAGCAGGCACCTTGTATTGAGGAAGTTATTGTGGTATGACTTCACTGCACCTGTGGGATGCTACTTAAAGCCACATAGTTTAGGATCATAGTTCATTCCTTTGATGGTTGGTTACATGGCAAAGAGATCTCTAGGGAGCATACTGGCCTAATCCAAATCTATTCTTAATCTATTTCTTAATTTTTTTTTAACTTTGTATTGAGATGTAGAGATATGCACATAATGAGGCTTTCTAGGGAGAGCTTGGCAGACACTTATCCTAAACTGTTTGGCTCAAGTGAAAAGAAGAGGCAGATGCCTCTGGTTTTTATGGTGGTTCAGACATGAGACCATGGAGAGTGTCCCCAATGTAGTCCAATGATATAATATAGAAAATTCTACAATGATAAGTGTGTATCTTAATGAATGAATGTACTTATGTAATTACCATCCACACTGAGAAACAGATCATTTCCAGCTGTATAGTTGTATACTGTGTGAATATACTAAAGTTTGTTCACCCGTAGTGTTATTGACAGAAAGGATATGTTTCAAGTCTTAGATTATTGTGAGTAATGCTATGAACATTCTTGTGTGTGTATGTGGTTGCTTATGTATGTGCATGTTTGTTGTATATAACTAGGAGAATTATTTCTGGCAGTCTTGGTGGTTGCCCCATGCAGGATGGGATCAATCCCCCCCACCCAGTATTGGTTGGAGTTTTTAAAGTTTTACTGCCACATGTACACATGAGAGTATAAGAATATTACGCATATAATGAGGCTTTCTGGGGAGAGCTGGGCAGATACTTATCCTAAACTGTTTGGCTTAAGTGAAGGAAGAGGCAGATGCCTCTGGTTTTTATGGTGGTTCAGACATGTGACTATGGTGAGTGTTCCCATGTAGTCCAGAGCTTGTATAGTTTAACCCCCCCCCCCCCCAGTAACAAGGGAGAGAGCCTAAGGGCTTTATTACCTGTTGTGCAGATGTGGTGATAGGGGGAGTAATGGGACCTGAAAGTGGATAGTCTGCAAACATCCAGAATGGAGACAGACTTCTACCAGCAGGGTATGAAAGTGCTAATTGCTCTACAAACTCTCTGATGGTTGTTATTGTTAACATCATTTGGGTGGGGGGGGACCTGTGTTTAAACTCAGGGACACCAAACCACTGAGCCACATCCCCAGCCCTATTTTGTATTTTTTTAGAGACAGTGTCTCACTGAGTTACTTAGTGCCTCACCATTGCTGAGGCTGGCTTTGAACTTTTGATCCTCCTGTCTCAGGCTCCCCAGCCTCTGGGATTACAGGTGTGCACCACCACGCCTGGCTTGTTAGTCAGACTTTTTAAATTAGCTATTATGGGGGTGCATTGTAATATTTCATTGTGGATTTGGGTTTGGATTGTTTTGATTTTTAGTACTAGGAATTGGATCCAGGAACCCTTTACCACTGAGACACATGCCCAGTTCCTTTTATTTGCTGAGGTTATCTTTCAACTTAGGATCCTCCTGCCTCAGCCTCCCTATGTGCTGAGATTACAGGTGTGATCCAACACCTGACTCATGGTTTTAATTTGCTTTTCTCTGATGACTAAAATCCTTCACTATTATACACCCATGAATGTATGACCCTGTGTTTTCTCCTAGAGGCTTATTTTACTTATCACATTTAGACCTATAATCCAAGTGATTTTTTTAGTAAGATGTAATATAAAAGGTTTCTTCCTGTTCTCTCCTTTTCCTTCCCTCTTTTCCCTCATCCAATTGATCTAGCATCATTTATTGGAAAGATTACCTTTTCTGTTATATCGCATGTCATTTTTCCTTTAAAAAAAATGACCTTGTATTAGCATCAGTTTCTACAACCACCACCACGACCTGCTGGGATTCTGAATTGTGGTTGAATTGAATCTGTAGATAAATTTGGAGATAGATGACATCTTAAAGTATTAAGTTTTTAAATTCATGAATATAAAATCTCTTTCCATCTGATTAGCTCATTCCTCTCAGAAAAATCTTGTGGTTTTTTGTGTAGAGAGCATGCCTATGTTTCATTGGGTTTACTCTTAGCTTTTGATGTATTTTATGTTAATATAAATTTTATCACTTTTAAAATTTCAGGGKTTTTTTTWAATTTATTTTTTAGTTGTGGTTGGACACAGTATCTTTATTTATTTTTATGTGGTGTTGGGGATCGAACCCAGGGTCTCACCCGTGGCACTCTACCGCTGAGCCACAACCCCAGCCAAAAAATTTCAGTTTTCTAATTGTTTATTTTTGCATATAGAAACATTAGTTTTGATACATTGAGATTCAAGGATTTTTTTAACCTTTATTCTATGGTTATTCATTTGTATGTGGTGCTGAGGATCCAACCCAGGGCCTCACAGTAGGCAAGCACTCTACCGCTGAGCTATAGCCCCAGCCCCAAGATTCAAGGATATTAAATCCAGTTATTTTAATAGATTTTCAATAGATTCTTCAGGTTTTTCATTTTTGTTTTTTGGTGGGTTTTTTTTTTTTTTGGTACACATTCATGTTTCTGCAATTAATTAGAATTGTAAGTGTATCCTTGCAGTTCTTAAAATATTCTCTGCTGCAGTGGCCAAAACATCTAGGGCAGCGTTGTATGGAAATGGTAACAGCAGGCATTCTTTTGCTTTCTTCATCTCAAATGTAATGTTTTCAGTATGTTACCATTAAATGTGGCATTTGCCATAGGTTTTAATTTTTGCCAGATTTAATGTTATTTCCTTCTGTTCTTCAGAGTTTTTATTATGAGTAAATATTGAATATTCTGAAATGCTTTTTCTGCATCCATTGAAATGATCATGAGTTTGTTTGATGGGGAGAATTGTACTATTGTGTTTTCAAATGTTAAACCAACTCTGTGTTCCTGATATAAACAGAGTTTAGTGATAATCTATTATTCTCTTTATATATAGCTGTTTGCTACTATTTGGTTTATGATTATTTCATCTAGTTTGTAAAAAGCATAGTTTGTAGGTTAATCATTTTCCTCTTTTACGATGTTGATACCTAAGGTTGGCATTGAGCTTACATTGATCCCATTGACTGGGTAGGCTGTCTCCTTTATCCTGCTGTCTGGGAAAGTTTATATATTATTGGTGTTGCTTCTTTCTAAAATATTGAAAGAATTTCCAGTGAAGCCATTTTATTATTAGTGAATTTTTATTATAGATTAAATTTCTCATGTATACTGTTTAAACCCTATTAGAGAAGAAACTATTTCTAAATTGTATTTTTCTGGGAATCTGTTTCTCATTTTTTTCCAGTGGTACTGGAAAAAAAACCAGGGAACTCTACCACTTAACCATATTTCCAACCCTTTTTGTTTTTTGAGGCAGTGTTGCTAAATTACTGAGGCTGGCCTCAAATTTGGATTTTCCTGCTTCAACTTCCCAAATTGCTGGGATTACAGGTGTGTGCCACTGTGCCCAGCTTAAATTTTCATATTTATTACAGAGAATTATAATATCCTTTTATCAGCTTCTCTTTTTTTTTTTTGTACTTGACACAATACTTTTATTTTATTTATTTATTTTTTATTTTTTTATTATGTATTTATTTTAAGAGAGAGGGAATTTTTTTTAATATTTATTTTTTGGTTTTTCGGTGGACACAACATCTTTTATTTTTATGTGGTGCTGAGGATCGAACCCAGGGCCTCACACATGGTAGGTGAGCACTCTACCGCTGAGCCACAACCCCGGCCCCATTTTATCAGCTTCTTAAAAATCTATGCCAGTATCTGGAGACATTCTTCTTTTTCATAAATGTGGGAGGTATGATACTACACTTGGGCTCTAGTAGTTAGAGAAGAGAAATGCTACACAGGTCAGCCTCCTATAACCAAGAACTAACTGCCCTAGCATGTCAGTAACACTAAGATTGGGAAGCCCTGTTCTCTAGCTGATATCTCCTTTGCATTCCTGGTGGACAATCTGTGCCTCCTTTCTTTCCTTGATCAGTAGTCAGTGTTTTTTTCAGTTTTTTAGCCTTTTGACTTTGTTGGTTTTCCCTCATGTTCATTGATTACTGTCCTCAAAAGTAATAATTTCTTTCCTTTAACTTTTTTTGGGGGGTTTAACTTATGTTTTTCCTCTAATTTAACTGATATRTGATAAGATTTATTTTCCGTCTCTTATTTTCTGATATATTATTCATTTAGTGCTATAAACTTCTGAGATTCAGCTGCCTAAGGGCCTGGGAGTGTAGCTCAGTGGTAGAGTGTTTGCCTGTGTCAGATCCACACCCCAGTTGTGCCCTGGCAGGCAGGCAAGTTGTGGAAAAGCCAAAGAAAGTACCTGAAAATAGCATTGAGAGACAGTGACTTCCTGGGAAAAGCTTACCTGAGATGAGTGACTGTTCCAGCAGGAGTTCGCTGGTGAGAGGCTGAACAGGTAGAACCTCTGCCCCTCATGACACTGCCCCAAGAAAGGAGTATTTCCTTCCCTCACAGCATTTTGTCCAGTGTAGATGGCTAGATAAGTGACACTGCACAGTATCCTCCGCATAGTGTCCTCATCACCCATACCAGTTACCAGATGGAATAGGGTTT